TTTTGCCAAATATATAAAGTAGAGAATTCTGAGTTTTTGTAATATTTTCTGATACATATACATGTTCTTATGTTGTGTAGAAAGTTTGAGCTGATTCCAATTAAATTTGGATTTTTTAATGAATTTTTAAAGTTGTTCAAAGATCGGGTCAAAGTCCCGGTACTATAGTACAGTGGCGTTAGCTAAATTTCACCAAATATAAAAAGTAGAGAATTCTCAGTTTTTGTAATATTTTCTGATGCTTGTAAGATTGGGCTAACTCAATTATAATCGTACAGTAAACAATGAGAATATAATAAAGAATACAACTGATCATACAGAAATAATAAGGAATTCTATCAATGATACATAATTATCCCACAATGCTTATACACGTACCTGTCCTTATGTTGTGTATAAAGTTTGAGTTAATATTTTCTTATTTTTTCCGAGAGGGTGGGAATATTTTTGGATTATTTTATTTTATTTTTGGAATTTTTCCTGATTTTTTCTGAGAGTGTAGGAATATTTTCAAATTTTTATTTATTTTTTGGAATTTTTGTATTTTTTCTCATGAGTGGTTGAGTATTTTTCGAATTTTTTAATTTTATTTTTGGAATTTAAAATTTTTTTTTCAGGAGTGTGGGAATTTATTCAAATTTTCTTTATTTAATTTTAGGAATTTATTTTGATTTTTTCTTCGAGCATGAAAATATTTTCCGAATAGTTTTATTATATTTTTCAAATTAAAAAAAAATTTTTTTTGGCAGCGTGGGAATATTGTTTTTGAAAACTTTTCTGATTTATTCAGAGAGTGTGGGAATATTTTTAGCTTTTTTAAGTTCAATTTTTGAAATATTTTTGGATTATTTAATCATAAGTGTAAAAATATTTTCGGATTATTTTTATATTATTTTTCAAATTTTTCTGATTTTTTTTTTGACAGCCTACAAATATTTTCATATTTTTTATTTAATTTTTGTAATTTTTTGAATTTTTCATTATGAGTGTTATAATAAATTTGGATTATTTTTGTTTTATTTTTGGAGTTTTTTTCTGATTTTTTTACGAGATCATGGAAATATTTTTGAATTATTTTATTTTTATTTTTGGAATTTTTTCTGAATTTTTTCCAACAGCATGGGAATATTTTCAGATTTTTTTAGAACGAAGAACCCTGTCAGGAAACACTCTCATTATTTCATACTCAATTCCTCTAGAACGTTGAGAGCTACGACCCAATCCTGAACCCTGTCCTATCCTAGACGACAACAGGTATCCCCAATTCTAATTATACATGTAGTAACTTCTAATTATAGTAACAACACATCTAAATATACTAACAACTATTACATGATGTAATCAGTAATGTGTTTATTTTTAGAATCATCACTAATAATAGTAACAATACATCTAAATATAGTAACAATTATTACATGATGTAATCTTTGTTGTGTCTATTTTTAGAATCATTACTGAGCTTGAGACTCTTAAGGAAGAGGCTGCAGAAGTTCAGAGGAAGATGGAGGAGACTGATACTGTAATGGCTGAAGTTGACAGAGTCTCCCAGCAATACCTGCCACTCTCCACCTCCTGCTCTGCCATGTACTTCACTCTGGAGTCACTCAATCAGGTAATTGAAATCATGTGACTGTCGTGTGATTTAGCAGTACTTTATTTTGATGGTTTTGCTTGAAAAATACATTAGGCCAGGTTTTAATTGGCAAATTTGTCCACGAATGTATTACTAAACATTTCACTATTGAAAATTTTGATTGCAAAATGCCAAAAAAATTTATGTAAAAATCCCTGTATACATGTACATGTACATGTACAGGGATTTTTTCAGAAATTGGCATATTTTTTAAATGGTCATAACTTGAAAAATTTAATTCGGAATCAGCTCAAACTTTGTACATAGCATAAGTACATCAATTTGTATTGAAAAATTTAATAAAAATTGGTCATGATTTTTGAGCCATTTTTTGGAAAAAAACCATGGGCTATAGTACAGGAATTTTTTCAGAATTTGGCATTTTTTTAAATGGCCGTAACTTGATGAATTTAAGTCGGAATCAGCTCAAACTTTGTACATAGCATAAGTACGTCAATATGTATCAGAAAATTTAATAAGGATTGGGGGTGATTTTTGAGCCATTTTTTGGAAAGAACTATGGGCTATAGTACATGGATTTTTTCAGAAATTGGCATATTTTTTAAAATGGCCTTACCTTGAAAAATTTAAGTTGGAATCAGCTACACAGTATAAGGATATCAATATGTATCAGAGAATGTAATAAAATTTTGAGGTGGTTTTTGAGCCATTTTTGGAAAAGAATAGGTGCTTTTAGCTTTTGCTTTTTTTCGGAAAATTTACTATTTTAAAATTGCTGCATATTTCAAAATTAATTTTTTTGTTAGAATCAGCTTAATGTCAGTATTAATAATAACGAATCATTTCTTATTATTTATTATAGGCTGTGGACCTGAGGCTGAACTCATCATCTCAAGGACTGATCTCTCATTCATATACTGAAGATCTATAGACTGGGTTTAGGAACTAAGGACTGTAACACTATAAGACTGGTTTAATTAATTAAAATCATTGTTGACTTGTACTCTACATGTATGACTGAAGTGTGTTTCTTATTTTATTGTCATTTTTCATTATTTAATCTCATTTCTGTTTATGAGTCATTGCGCCTGCTTTGGTATTAATGGCTCTCGCAATAATTTTAATCAAAATTCATAATAATCAATGATAAAAAGAAAACTTTGTGTATTAAACAAAAATGCTAAAATTATAAACAATAATGTTATGTAACTCTTTATAGTCTTCAGTTAATGTACAGTCAAACAGCAAACAATTAACCTATAGCAATGACAACATATTTAACAATACTATACTTAGAATACTTCTCAATGTAGTCTTCAATAGCAGAGAATTGTACTTATCCTCTTATTGTCATTAACCTAACAATGGAATGTAATTCATCATACATAGTTACTGTTAGTATCTATTCTTCTTGTATGTAGTGCTCTTAGCATCACTAGCAGTAGTAGCCACTAGTGATCCCAGGCAGTGTCACGTGGAGGCTGCACTACATTGCTGCCCACACTAGAACAGAGAACAATATAATTATATTGACACATACCTAATGTACTTGAACCTTTAACGGGAACTTGCTATAACCTTAGGAAAGAGAAGGTTAATACATGACACATATTGTAAGATGTGTCCAGTTTTAAATATCTGAACGTGTGATTTTGGAGAGGGAAATTTTGGTGAATTTGGCATTTTGATAATAGCCATTCACCAAAATAAAACCCACCATTATGAACCATTATGTACACATGTACATGCTCAATGGGACATGGACACAAATTAAAACACACCAAAAGGACGGCTGAGCTCCTTCAGGAATGGGAGAGAAAGAAACCAATACATGTAAGGGATAAAGGAACAGGTTACATGTACATGTAGACCTACTAGATGTTACGTACATTGTACACATGTACATTACATCATTAGTAAAATGATGAGAATTCAGTGACTGATATAACATACTGTGATATTTATTTACCACAATTCTCTGATTACTACAGTACTTCTGTATATGGAATTTAGTGATGCATATACATGTTCTTGTGTTGTGTAGAAAGTTTGAGCTGATTCTGATTAAATTTGGATTTTTTATGAATTTTTAAAGTTGCTCAAAAATTGGGTCATAGTCCCTGTACTATAGCAAGGCTGCAAAAGTCGTGGCAACCATTTTGTTTGGAGGTAAATCCTACTTAGTAATGCTACCACGTTACTAATAATAGTACAGGGGCGTCATCCAAATTTTGCCAAAATTTTCAAGTAGAGAATTCTCAATTTTTATAACATTTTTGATACATATACATGTTCTTATGTTGTGTAGAAAGTTTGAGTTGATTCCGATCAAATTTGGATTTTTTACAAATTTTTAAATTTGCTCCAAAATCAGGTCAAAATCCCTGTACTATGGTACAAGGGCGTCAGCCAAATTTTGCTAAAATTGTCAAGTAGAGAATTCTCAATTTTTATAACATTTTCTAATACATATACATGTTCTTATGTTGAGTAGAAAGTTTGAGTTGATTCCGATCAAATTTGGATTCTTACAAATTTTTAAAGTTGCTCCAAAGTCAGGTCAAAGTCCCTGTACTATAGTACAAGGGCGTTAGCTAAATTTTGCCAAAATTAAAAAGTAAAGAATTATCAGTTTTTGTAATATTTGCTGATACATATGCTTTTCCTTATGTTGTGTAAAGTTTGAGCTGATTCCGATTAAATTTTGATTTTTTATGAATTTTTAAAGTTGCTCAAAAATTAGGTCAAAGTCCCTGATAGTACAGGGGCGTGAGCTAAATTTTGCCAAATATATAAAGTAGAGAATTCTGAGTTTTTGTAATATTTTCTGATACATATACATGTTCTTATGTTGTGTAGAAAGTTTGAGCTGATTCCAATTAAATTTGGATTTTTTAATGAATTTTTAAAGTTGTTCAAAGATCGGGTCAAAGTCCCGGTACTATAGTACAGTGGCGTTAGCTAAATTTCACCAAATATAAAAAGTAGAGAATTCTCAGTTTTTGTAATATTTTCTGATGCTTGTAAGATTGGGCTAACTCAATTATAATCGTACAGTAAACAATGAGAATATAATAAAGAATACAACTGACTAAAATAAGAGTAGAAGAGAACGGAAGAGAGAAAGAACCACGAAGAAGAATAAGAATGATAATCATAACAACACACACCTATTTATACACATGCATACAGGAAATGACAAATAATACATCATACAGAAATAATAAGGAATTCTATCAATGATACATAATTATCCCACAATGCTTATACACGTACCTGTCCTTATGTTGTGTATAAAGTTTGAGTTAATATTTTCTTATTTTTTCCGAGAGGGTGGGAATATTTTTGGATTATTTTATTTTATTTTTGGAATTTTTCCTGATTTTTTCTGAGAGTGTAGGAATATTTTCAAATTTTTATTTATTTTTTGGAATTTTTGTATTTTTTCTCATGAGTGGTTGAGTATTTTTCGAATTTTTTAATTTTATTTTTGGAATTTAAAATTTTTTTTTCAGGAGTGTGGGAATTTATTCAAATTTTCTTTATTTAATTTTAGGAATTTATTTTGATTTTTTCTTCGAGCATGAAAATATTTTCCGAATAGTTTTATTATATTTTTCAAATTAAAAAAAAATTTTTTTTGGCAGCGTGGGAATATTGTTTTTGAAAACTTTTCTGATTTATTCAGAGAGTGTGGGAATATTTTTAGCTTTTTTAAGTTCAATTTTTGAAATATTTTTGGATTATTTAATCATAAGTGTAAAAATATTTTCGGATTATTTTTATATTATTTTTCANATTTTTCTGATTTTTTTTTTGACAGCCTACAAATATTTTCATATTTTTTATTTAATTTTTGTA